GCCCAAAATTCTAAAAAAAATAATTAATAATCTCTAAACGCCTTTACCAAACCGATACCGTGGCAGCCTGAAATTCTAGAAAAAAATAATTAGTAATCTCTAAACGCCTTTACTGAACTGATACTGCGGCAGCCTGAAATTCTAAAAAAAAATAATTAGTCATCTAAAGAAAGTATAAATTAATTATTTAACAGATTGATCTGAAGTTATGTAAGCAAGTCTTACTTTTTAAGAATAAACAAACTGGTTTGTCTTAAATCGATAGATTAATCGATCGATTTATTTTCCTTTTTTTTCTCTCTTTTCTTCTTTCCTTTCGTCGATTGATTTTTTTTATATTTCAGCTCCGTAACTTCCGGTTGAACCTAATTTTGTAATTGACTGCAGCATATCATTCGACATTCCAGACTGAAGACAGTTTTGCCAAAAATCTTCGCAGAAATGAAGAGTATCTCAGCAATTAATCCAGTTTTTTCATTATTTTTTTTTATTTATTTTATTTTTTTTTTTTATTTATTTTATAATTTATATTAATTTTTTTCTTTTATTTTATTAATTTTTTTTTTTATTTTTTTTTTTTTAATTTTTTTTTTTTAATTTTATTATTAATTTTTTTTTTTTATTTTATTAATTTTTTTTTTTTTTATTTTATTAATTTTTTTTTTTTTATTTTATTAATTTTTTTTTTTTATTTTATTTTATATTTTTTAGAAAAACTTATCGGTAAGCGAATTTAATTCCTTCTTGGTTAGGGTGCACTTTTTTGAGAATGTTATTAACGTTCTTTTCCTTCTCTTTTTTAGAACCGGTCTTCTTTAGATCATGGGAATTACCGGTAAGTGAGTTCCCTTCTTCTTGGGTTGGGTAGGCTTCTTTGAGAACGTTACTAACGTTCTCTTTCCTTCTCTTTTTTAGGATCAGCCTTCTTTGGATCTTGGAAATTACCGGTAAGTGAGTTCCCTTCTTCTTAGATTGGGTAGGCTTCTTTGAGAACGTTACTAACGTTCTTTTCCTTCTCTTTTTTAGGACTGGCCTTCTTTGGATCTTGGAAATTACCAGTAAGTGAATTCCCTTCTTCTTGGGTTGGGTGAGCTTCTTTAAGAACGTTACTAACGTTCTCTTTCTTTCTCTTTTTTAGGACTGGCCTTCTTTAGATCTTGAGAATTACCGGTAAATGAGTTCCCTTCTTCTTAGGTTAGGTGGGCTTCTTTGAGAACGTTACTAACATTCTTTTCCTTCTCTTTTTTAGAACCGACCTTCTTTGGATCTTAGGAATTTACCGGTGAGTGAATTTCCTTCTTCTTGGGTTGAGTGGGCTTCTTTGAGAACGTTACTAATGTTCTTAGGACTGGCCTTCTTTGGATCTTGGGAATTTACCGGTGAGTGAATTCCCTTCTTCTTGGGTTGGATGGGCTTCTTTGAGAACGTTACTAACATTCTTTTTCCTTCTCTTTTTTTAGGACCGGCCTTTTTTGGACCTTAGAAATCAATTGGTAAGTTAAATTCCTTCTTAGAATGGTAAGCTTCTTTTGAGAATTATTAACATCCAATTCTAAAAAAAAAATAATTAGTAATCTCTAAACACCCTTATCAAACCAATATCGCGGTAGTCCGAAATTCTAAAAAAAAAATAATTAGTAATCTAAACGTCCTTACCGATATTGCGGCAGTCCGTAAAAAAAAGAGATGTATAGATTAATTAATTAAATGCTTAGCCAAATAAATTTAGGTCTAAATTTAACAGATTAATCTAATATTATGTAAGCAAGTCTTTTGATTTTTTGTATAGATTGATTAACATGATTAACATGCATGATTAATATAAATATCAAGTCTTACCTCTGATTGATGTAATTAGTGTATGTAGATATCAATCAAATTTTTTTACTAAAATAAGTTAAATTTTTAGTGGAAAACTATTTTAAAAATTCTTTATTTTTGCTTTTTTTTAAATAAATAATTTTGTATTATTTTCTTTTTATGATTTTTGATTTAATAAAATAATATATAAAAAGTCAAAATCATTTGAAACTCTAGTTATCATTTCATTATCGTTATCTTTATATATTATCTTATCTTACAATCTTACATTGTTTTGCATATTATAGCTGGTTAGAAATACTCAAAACAACGATTACAATAAAATCCATTTGTTGCTAAAGTTGTATGTGCTAAAAAGGTAATTTGCATATGTAGAACTGCAATAAAATTTAACAGAAAATATGATGAGGATTATATTAATCGGCATGCAAATGGCCCAGAATGCAACTGAAAAAATAACAAAGTATTTTGTGTTTTTTTAATTCAATAACGACTAATAAAGAAGCTAATGATAAGGATAATATAAATTCAGATAATGATTGGAATAATTGGGAAAGTGAAGTAGAAGATACAATGGATAATGATGATATTATTACAGTAGACAAAAATAATGAAGAAATTAATGGAGAAGGAATTAATATAGAGATTATTAGTCCAAAAACTAATCAAACAGGTAGAAAAAGAAATCCATGTTTAGGATTACGTTCAGATTTAATTGCAAAATATGTTGATAGAATACCAGCAAATTATGGTGAAGCTTGTCGTGTTGAAGTAATTGCTAAAGAAATGTATTCTAAGAAATTTCCTCACAAATTTACAAGAAAAAGACTTAAACCATTTCAAAAACGTGTATTAAATCAGAAAATTTATACAGAATCTCAATGACATGTTGATAAAGATTATAAGTATTTACAGTATATTTAATATATTTTTTATTTTTAACGATCATTAATGAAAATCTTTTCCAAATATTATTAACAGGTGTTGCTGTACGTGCTAAAGAATGCATGGGATATTCTGAATCAGGAAAAACAATTTGTGATGAATGCTTAACATTAAAATATAATCCTATATTAAATCATCATCTTACTATACCAAAACCTGCACCTGGAAATCTTAAATTTACGCCAAAATATTATTTTGAAAATAATACTTTAAAAAAACATTTGCAAAATCAGGATCTTTGTGAAATTTGGTCTGTTATTAAAGATGATTATGATACAAATATATGGATTACATTAGCAGATAAAGTAAATAATGGCATATTTAAAGAAAAACCTGTATTTACAGGACTTTGTAAAGTAATAGTTCAAGCTGTAATTCGTAAAGATAATAATAAAGGCAAACAAAATATTCAATATAATGAAGATTTTACAAATTTTCTTATTATATTGGAAAGTTTTAATACTCAAGCTCTTGATCTTTTTTGTCAAAGTTTGGAAGGGCACACAATTCAAAATATACAGTATTTTATTTATTTTATATATTTATTTATTAATTAATTAATTTTATCTGTTAAATTTTTTAAAAAATATCTTTATTATAAAAAATAATAGTAAACTCTGAACTAACAATGAAGATACGCTTACAAATCCTGCTCTTACATTTGAGAATGTTACCAAATTTAAAAGGCTAATTGATACATTAAATTATCAGAGACCAATTGTTGCTATGTCAGATAATACCAAGTTAAAGCCTGCTCTTCGTTATAATCTTATTTTAGGCTGTATCATTGGATCAACACTACCAATTAAATAAACTAAAATTAATACATATGAAGATATTCAACCAATCATTAATGATATTAAAACAAAAAAAGCGATTGCAAAAGATGTTTATGCTTATATATTGCAGGTAATTTATTTATCCAAATGATTAAATCTCTTAATTATATCAATAATGATTTACTATTTTATTTTACCAATTATTAGATACCATTACCAAACTTCCCTCCAGTAATTATTGCATTAATTGCAAATGACGGATCTGATAATGCATCAACTATAACTAGCTTTCATCAAGAATTATTAACTTAAATAGCATCACAGCTTAACCTTCTGATACTATCAATTGGATCAGATGGCACTATAGTTGAATTCAAAGCCTAAATTACAATTTAATTATATTCAACAAATGAGCAGTTAACTTTTCAAAATAAAAAACTTGGTATTGATTTTAGCTGTTCAGTTTTTCCAAATATAGGACCTGTTATCCATGTACAAGATCCTAAACTAGTCGGAATGCAATTATGTCTGGTGCACGCCTTCTTACTTTGGGAAATTCAACAGTACGATTTGAACAATTATTAAAATTATCAAATCTTTTTAATTCTATAATGTATCGTCATGATGTAGTAAAACTTGATCGTCAAGATGATAGTACAGCATATTGTATATTTTGTTCAACAAATCTACAAAATTGTCGTGATATTGAAGATTCACAAGGACTTTTTGTATATCTTTTCATTATGGGTAAGATAAAAAACCAATTTTGATTATAAATGATAAACCTTTTCATTATTTAATATATTTTTTCATTTAGGTGAACTTATTGATAGTTATTTAAATCGTGAAATAACTCCATTAGAAAGAATTAAAATGTCAATGACATTTTTTTTCTTTTTACAAATTTGAAAAGAATATATAACAAATGTAAGTGAAAAGTATCCCGACTTTGTTTCTATAAGCAAGAATTTTTTAGCAGATCAAAGCTATGCAATTTTTATTTCTCTTGCGGAGTCTATGGTTTTATTGGTAAAAACACATCGGGAATATTACTCAAATTATTCATTTTTGCCATGGATGCACAGATCAGAAGTTTGTGAATATTTTTTTGGTATAGTGCATCAAATTAATTCAGATTTTAATTATTCAGAGTTATTACAACTAGTTCCAAAAATTTCTCAATGTGCCAAAGCATTAAGAACAAAAAATATTATATTAGAAAAAGAAAAATCTGTGCATAAAGGTAAGCAGACAATAATAATTATGAAAATATTTTATATTGAATTTTTTATCTAATTTTAATTTTTTTAAATAGGATATCATTTCGATTATAATATAGGAAATATTAATTCAACAAAATTAATGACATTATGTGATTGGCCATCAGATACTGATATTACTTCAACAATTAAATATTCACACAAATTGGCATTGGATCTTGCTAAAGCACTTGATATGAATTCTATTTCAAATGCAAATCAATTATTATTACAGCCGTTTATAATAATAGAGGAGTCAAATTTGGAAGTGTCAACTGGAGTTAAGTCAAGTTTAGAACTTGAAAGTAATTCAGATGAATTTTTTGAAATTGATAGAAAAATTTCTGATGCAATTCATCAAACCTCCAAGCATACTACTAACACAATTGATAATATTTTTAATTTTTCAAACATTGAGAATGAAAATATTGATGATCAAATACAAACTATTTCAACTTTAAATAATACTACAAGAAACTTTCATAATGCATATGAGCGACCTACTCATGGTATGATTATTATATTTCAAAAAATTTTATTTTAACGATATATTATTATTAAATATTAACAAAATTGATAATTTAAAAAAAATTTTTTCTATTAAATATCTTCTTTCAACAGGAGAACTAGATTATTTAACTATGATTGCATTTCGAAGTCATCATGAAGCATATAATTCAAGACCAGTTGAGAGAAAAAATCATGCACATATGATCAGTCACGAAAAAACAAATACTATTAATCCAAATAAGGCTAGTCATATAATTTCACATCTTACAAATAATGATAATCCTGAAACACGATTCATAAAACAACGTGAAAAATGATAGAAGAACAGTTGGAAAACAATGACAGCTAATCTTGCTAATTTACAACAATATGAATTATCAAAGCAGAGACGAGCTGATAAAGTTACAAGTGAAAGTAATATAAATTTAATATATTATAAATATATAATTTATATAATTTATTAATTATTTATTATATATTGCAGTTATATGTATTGAATCAGCAAATATTACTCAAGATTTTCCATTATAACAAGATGATTATGTAATTGTGCTATATGAAACAAAAATTTGTATTGCCAAAGTAATTGCAATGTATTATGAAGGTTATGATAATCATTGTTATAGTCAAAATACCATTACTCAAATTGAAGATTTATCCTATAATTTCATTGCAAGTATATTTACCAATTCATCTCAATATTTTTGCAAGTCAAACTGTAGAAGGTTATACATTATTTACTCATCATTGTCCTCAAAATATTATATATCATATTAAATCAAATGGGTTAATAATTGGTGATAGTTCGTTAACTTTAACAGGAGTAACACAAAATATTTTTAATTATTTTAATCGTGATACTATTAAAAATAGTATTATTAATATGATGTAATAATTAAAAATTAATAAATAAAGTAATATCACCGCATCATGTGATTTTATACATTACATAAATTATTTACATAAATAAAATTTTGTAAAAAAAATAATAAAAAAAATTTTTATAATTATTAATAAACAAACTATTTATTGCAATATATAATAACGTGTTATCTGAATTTAAGGTAAAGTGATAGTAAAATAGAGATAGAATGATAGTGAAATTATAGGCGAAATGAGGCAAAATGATAGTGAAATAATAGTGAAGGTGATGGTGAAAGGTGGCGAAATTATTGGTGAAAGATGGCAAAATAATGGTAAAATTATAGGCGAAATTATGGTGAAAGTATAGAGAAATGATGGTGGCGAAATGATGGAGAAATGATGGTGAAATGATGGCAAAATGATGGCAAAATGATGGTGAAATGATGGTGAAATGATGGAAAAATGATGGAGAAATAATATGAAATCTTTTTGTAATTAATAATAGTCACAAAATCAATTGCTTAGCAGTGTAAAAAATTTTAAAGTCATAATAAGAGTTTGCTTAGCAGGATTGAAAATAATTTGCTTATTGATCTTAGTAAATTTTAAAATTTTCATCTGACCTATATATATATTGTTCGGGGTCCTACTATATGTCTTTCCGGATGGGATTTAAGGAATATGGAATGACATTGAGACAAGCATTGGAACTTGAGAACTAAGACCGAATCTCACTTACCGAAGACGCCCTCAATGATGATACAGACTTGCGCAAGAATGTGAAGAGAATTTTAGAGGTTATAGTAGGTTTGTTAAAAGATAGGCGTTGTGTGCAAGAAAAAATCAAGAAAAAATAGATATACGGGGTGGTATAAGTCTGCAGTCATTAACATATAAACGTCATATTAATACGTCATATAATCACATAAGATAATTCGAACTAATCAATTGTGTTTAGTTATAAAAATACTAAGTTTGTATCCGCTTTATTCAGAAAAAAAAAATAATATAAATTTAATATAATCTGAAAAATTTGCTACAGTAAAAGATTATTCAAAATTCAACTATATCAATTTCGGGAATTCATTACTAAATGAATATTAAAATCTCTTTATACTCGATCTAATCCAATATATGGTGCAATACTTTAATATAGTTTATTTAATGGCCAGTTAGTAAAAACTTTGTCTTTTCAGATTGCTGATTTTTCAAGTACTCCCAAAATAGTTTCCGCCTTCTTCTTTATTTTTTCATAATCGAGCTCATAATTATCTTCTGGCGTCACTTCATCTCTTCCTTCGAACGACAGTGGGATGTAACTTTCAGCCAATTCAAAAAAATCTGCAATTTGATCATATACTTTATTACTATAACGGTTTTTATCATCCAAGTAAACTTTTACAAATCGTTTAAGTAAATCGTCCCTTTCCCCTTCCGAGTTGGCAATTTCATCAAGGATATCTTCATATACCGTAAGTATAACTGCACGTAATTTGAATGGTGGTTGCGTTACATAGTCATATTGAGCATCACTTAGTTTCCATCCGGACCATAATTGATAATCTCGATTTCCTCCACGATAAATTATGACACATTGATGAGATGCAGAATCAACTACAAAGTATGCATCTTGATTCTTATAGCTTCCACTGAAAACATTGTTCATGTTTCTGCGAATAAACTCTTGAAGAGTTCTCTGAAGTTTCTCCTTGTTTTGATTATTCCAGTGGTCATTTTCGGTAAACCCCCAATGATCTTTATGCCTATCAAAAATATGTTGCAATCCTTTAAGTGTATAATTAACCTGATTTTCATCAAAGTATACAAATACAGGATTGTATACATTGGCATATGAATAAGTTTGGTATTCTCCGTAAGCTTCATAGGTGTTTAGCCTGATCTGATTCATTCCAGAAACGGTTCCAATATAGTGATTGCCGGAATATACATATCGACCGTCAGGAAGAGTCGATCTGTTACTATGATTACTTATATAGAACCAGTGCCCATTAAGCCATTCCTTATTTGATTTGCTACCGTCTTCATACAATCCAATCCAGTCCGATGTGAATGGTGTAATTATTGACCAAGTAAATTCTAATTTTCCAGAGTTTATTACACACCTCAAGTAACAAATTTCTCTTCTTTCGGTTTGCGACATTACGTATGTTTCTTCAGAAAAAAAAAAAATAAGCTCGATTGATTATACCAGATCGCATGTCTTTATATAAGCAAGGATGGTAATTTTGTTTCTAAAACTGTAGGAAATGATATTATTTATTATTTTGTTCCTAAAACTGCAGACAATATTATTTATTTATTTATTTATTACAGTACAAAGGTGACATGTAATGATAAAATACAAGCGTACCCTATGTAGACAAAGTAGCCCCTTTTTATATCACGATGTTAAACTTCTGTTTAAGGCAGACAATGATACTATAAATACGCAGTAAGTACGCAGTATATTCATTCCGGGGTTGATCTGTAAGAATCGATCACAAATAAAAAAAGGGAGCGTGAAGACTTCGTTGATTTAATAGATCATATATACCGCGGTAGATCATGTCTTATTGGTGGCAAGTGTGAAAAACTTCATGTATATACCATTATATTGCAGTGGATCCTGTCTTTATTGGTCGGAAGTGTGAAGAGTCTTCACGATTATCATATGACACGGAATCATGATGTCACGCATTCAATCCTTACTTTCCGGCTTATCAATTCAACCCTTACCATGGAACCGTAAGTATATATAGATTAGAGCCCACGGTTTCGTGCAATGCAAAAATAAAAAATGTGCATTTTAATATTACCAAAAATGCAAAATATGCAAAT